GCAGCTGTCCACCGTTTCATGGACTTTTCAGTTACTAAAGTCACAAGTGCTTGTGGCCCCAAAAGTGATTCCAACTTCATTCCTAATTAAATTCCTACCTCCATTCCTAACCTTAATCACCAAATGTGACCCTAAATTTGATGTAACTCCAAATCCTAACCTTAGGCCTCACCCCAACTCCTAATCCCACCCCATCCTTATCTCAATTCTAACCTGGCCCTCACCTTTGCTCTAACCCTTATCCATAACCCTCACTCTAATTCCACTGGTAACCCAGTGTTCCCCAAAATTACCACTCACTCCCATAGTCACAAATTTTGATATAGTATTCCTTCTGAGCTTGTAGCTACTTAATATTTGTCCTTAGACCTTTAAAGAATCCCACTGTAGCGTCATTCTGAGCATGTTCCAGAAATGATTAACATTTTTAAAATGTTTCTCCGTGCACCATCTACGTAACAATATCTCCCATACGACCGGAAGTATGCGTGGCGCTTATGGAAAAGGCTGTGCTACCTGAGCTTAAAGCCCACGCACCACCAGTCTCCCCCCCATCGACCCACGTGGAGCAGCGGCCACCTTGCCTGGCTTGGTGGGACTGCAGCGCCCTCTGCTGGCGGAGTCTGGGAGAGGCTCTAGCTCAGTTCCCTCTGGGCAGAGTCCGCAACATACTACTTACCTTCTCTGACTTGACTATCTGTGGGGTTCCCTTAGTTGTGAGTGAAGAGAGATGAGAAAGGGCTCTCTTCTCTAGGCATAGGGGCTGGGACACCTGGGGTGTAGGGTGGAGACAAGCCTGAAGTCAAAGGAGGAGACAGGAGCAGGGCCTGCCCGAGAGGTGTAGGGTACAAGATAAACTCTGAGATGTGGAGTATTGTCAGGGTTGGGACAGAGGTCAGAGTGAATCTAAGGTAGGAATGAGAATGTGAGTAGGGCAGGCCAGCACTGGATGAGGGGAGGGTGCCGCGAGGAGCACAGCAGGGCCAGGTACCAGGTAGCAGCCCGGTGTTATGCAGGGAGAACAAGGGTGAAGCGGATTTAAGTGACCTTCCTGGGGTGTGAATGAGCCCTTGGGCCTCAGAAGGAGGTACTGAAGCAGGGCAGGGCTGGGCAAGGCTGAGCTGAGCTGTCACAGGAAGTCTGTTCTCTGCTCCAGGTCTGCGTGGCTGACCTCTCCCATCTGGGTGTGCGGGGGGCACAGAGCCACCTACTGCTCAGCTATTTCTGCTCTCCTCCCCCCTCCCTCGGACCCCAGGACTCCGCAGTTATCTGTTCTGCCTCACATCATGTCCTTCAGTCCCCTGAAGACAAGCCCATGTACTTTCATTGCTAAGGTCTAATATCTATTTTTCTGTAACTTATAAAGCTGTAACACTGTCATCTTGGTTGTCTGTAAAATAAGATCTTACATTTGTGTGGTTCTTCATATATTAAAGAGCTATTTTCACAAACATTTGGTCACACAAGATACCATGAGGTAAAAATGACCCTTATTATCTCATTTTACCAAGCCAGAGCCTGAGCTTGACACATCAGACCAGTCACAGGTTATGGAGGACTGAAACTCAGTATCCTGACCTCTAACCAATCAGGCTCATGGTTAGTTGGATAAACCTCAGATAGAATTCAAAGATGGATGAAGTACAGGTGACATGTTTGGACTCGCTCATAGAGACTAAAAACTCCATACTGGAATTTGGGCACCTGGGACAGAGAGATGGGGTTGAGGGTGGTGGCAGTGACCAAATCACATTACCTGGCTGCCCACCCAGGCCAGGGAAGAGCTGACACCCACACTGCCTGTGTCACAGGAATCCCTGCAGATACCAATGTGAATTTCATCTGTGACAGCCAAGACAGCAACACATTAATCACACACTGCTAATATACTGGGCCTCCCCTACCTCCCTTGTTAAGGGTTTTAACCCCTGTGGCTCTGGGGACACAGATAGGGGACCAGATTACCCAGCAGGGGGCAGAGGCAAAGTTCCTACAGGTCCTGGTCCCTGGCTCCTGACTCCCTCTAGGAGTAATTCTTGCAGTTGACGCTTCTTTCCCTCCACGTGGCTCTCCCCTTTGGAGATGATCTTGGTTTTCCCAGTCGGAATGGACGGTGGTTTGCATCCATGAGGCCCTCATGCACTTAGCAAAGAGGCTCTCTGTTCTGCTAAGTCCTGAAAAGTCTCCACAAAGAACAGCTCCCCCAACCCTGGGAGCACCGCCTTCACCAGGCAAGAGGCTGCTCAGTGGCTCCTAGGGTGGGCTGAACAGAGTTTGGGACTCGGGCACCAGGCTTTAGAGTCACGTCTTTATTAAAGGTTGCGAAAGTGGAAAGAAGGTAGAACAGCCCTTGTTATAAAGCCAAACATCAACTGCATCGGAAGATAGCAAGCATTGTGTGGCTGGAAATCCGTGGGTATTGCTCAGGCCAGGGTGAGGCTTCCTGGCAGCTGCCAAGGCTGGGGCCCCTGCCCCTCGCCTCCCCTCTCCCCATCAGTCTGTGCTCACCAAGTTCAGAGTCAGCACCTGCTTTAAATCAGTATCCTATTTTAAATGCATCGGAGCTCGCTGTTAGAGCCAGCACTACCACCACGGTAGCGAGATCCTATGTAATCCCTTAGTGGGTCTTCAAGGTACCCACTGCGTGGGGGCTGACGTGTGTACACACACACTTCATCCCTGTGAAAGCTGAGGCCATAGAGGATGGGGGTCTGGGATGTGTCCCAGTAACAGGGAGCCAAGGAAGAGGGATGGGAGGGGGGAAAGGGACAGTGGTTCTGCTAGTCACAGATGGCCCTGACCTACCTGTGTTCTGCTGCTGACCTCTGGGGTGATCACAAGGTTGGGGACCTTAGCTCAGGGCTGGGAGTTAGGGTTCAAGAATGAAACCGTCTTGCCCACTGCCTCAGTGGCCTGCTTTCCATCCCTAAAACCCCAGAATGGCAGAGTTGAACTGGACTCTGAGACATTGGGGCCAACCAGCCCATTTTAGAGGTGGGGATATGGTGGCTCTGGAGGGACCCTTTTCCTATGTCACATCCAATGCATACAGTCGGGGCTGAGCCAGGGCTCTCTTTGATGCTTCACATTGCTTCTCCTTTGAAGATCTATCTACATAGCAATGGTTCTGGAACTTAGCAGGCACCAGACCCATCTGAAGAACTTGCTAAAATAAACAGCTTGCTGGGCCCCACCCCCGAGAGGCCAATCCCAGAGGGCAGGGATAGAGCCGTCAGGAGAAGCCATTGTGCGGGTCCCTGGACTACAGAGAACAGTGCTGGGTTACAGGACATTCCTAGGGAGGGCTGAGGCGGGCAGTGCAGACAGAGTGAAGGGCCATGCTGAGAGCCTCCGCGAAGAGGGGGAGGGGGGGCGTTTGTATGGCCAGGAGGAAGGAAGCAAGCGTGGAGGGTCAGACTTTGTGAGTGGGGACAGGCATGACACAGCAGCTTGTGTCTCTGCAGATATGAAGACCTCTGGGGATGAAAATGCTCCAGAGAGAAGTGAACAGAGAGCCAGCCTTCAGGCAGGCAGAGGCTGGGAGAATTCAAGCGCATTAGGGACAGTTTGGTTTAAAAGGCACTTTGGGTACCCTTGGGCCACTGGTGTTGTAGGCAGTGTCCATGGGAGCTGTCAGCAGGTCCCCCAGGCAGTGCCTGGGGGTCAGGGAGGAGGTGCAAGGATGCTCATGGAAGTGGCAAGTCAAGTGGCTGGGGCAAGATGGAGGTTAGAGAGCCCAGAGGCCATACCTTTATCACCCAAAACCTTCTTGGTTCTGGCTCCTGAAAGGGGAGGGCCAGGGGCCTGGTGCTACCAGGGCCTGCATGGGGTATCTGGTGGCCTCAGGAGGGGCGGGTAGCTGCTTGGCCTTGGAACATTCTCTGTAGGGTTTTTAGAGAAGAGGAATTTGGTCCCAGAGGAGAACTGATTCTGAACCAAATGCCAGCTGAGTACTAGGGACCAGGAACTGGGAACACTGTGACAGGCGGGGCCTAGCTCAGGGACCCCATCCCTCTCTGCCCCCAGAGATCCCAACCTAGTCATCCCCTCCTTTCAGCTCTGCTGGGAGGCCCTTTAGGCCAAGCTGTGGCCAGCAAGAGGGGTAGAAGTGCCTTCTGCCTGTGCCAAGGCCGGCCTCTCTAACAGGTCTTTGAAGTAGGTGCTTAGGGCCTGCAGGTTGAGAGCAGACTGGGCAGAGGGTGATGTGGTGGACTGCAGGTAGCGGCTATACTTCTTCAAGCCCCTCTGTGGGTCCCAGCGGTGTGCAGTCAGCAGCTCCGTGTAGGTCACATTGTGGAGGGCCAAGAGGCGGGCTGAGGCCCGGGGCAGGACGGCCGCCTGCACCAGGGGCTGCAGGGATGTGAAGCACTGCAGGTTGCTGAAGGAATAGACGTGCTGGGCCAGCTCCTGGCCCGGGGAGACCTCGAGGAGGCGGCACAGGTCACGCATGGTCAGCACGGCGGCCAGGGCACTGCGCTCGCTCATGTTCCTCGCCAGGTAGGTCTGGGCCAGACTTCTGAGTTTGAAGCTGCTGGCCTGAGGCACACGCTCCTGGATGAGGGGCAGGATGGCCAGGAAGCCTGAGATGGCCTCCTTGAACTCCCACAGCCTGTTCATGTCCTCCAGAGCCCGGAAGAAGCTGGGGAGACTGGGCCCCCACAGCTTATAGCAAGCCAAGATGGGGTGGCACATGGAGTTCAGGAAGCGAAGGAAATGCTGCAGCCCCACCTCCAGGGACACAGCCTTGGAGTAGACGTTGAAGGCCTCCGGTTGGATGAGCACACGGAACTTGCTTTCCTGGTTCACGGCAGCCAGCTGGCTAATCTTCTGGGCTGGGCAGAAGAGAAGGGCAGGGTGAGGTCCCAGGGACACAGGAGGCACTAGGCAGGAGTGTGGGACCTCTAGGGCCGCTGACCCACCATCCAGAGACCCCACCTTGGGGCCTGCTGCCAGGAACCAAACATTAGCCTCCAAATGCATCTCTGACCCTAGTTCTGCTGGGGATGGGGGTAGAAGGAGGTTGGCTGGACCGCAAATACCCCTTGCTCACCTGCAAAGGAGTCCAGCTCCCCACTCCTCTGCCACCTCCCCCAGGGTTCACCAAATCCTTTAGATCCAGGTCCCTCTTGTCTGTCTTGTTTCTACCTAGCCCTCCACTCCCTGCCCCTGGCCTCTGATCTCATCAGTCACTTAGCTAAGGCTCCCAACCAGTTGGACAGCACACCTGCCCAATCTACAGCACTCAGAGTGTGGCCCAGAACCTCCTGTGAGGTCTGCGAGTGAGTTCCCTGTCCTGTGGGAACATCTGCTGCTTCCGGCTCGCTGGGTTTGCCCAGGGCTGAGTCTATGCCACAGGGAAGGGCCCTGGCAAGCACTGTGGGAGTTGAGGGGCTCTGGGAGAAGAGGTCGTATCTCTCTGTGACCTTGGCTCTGTTGGCCTCCCTATGCAGCCCCCTGTAGAATGGGCTCTGTGCTCAGAAACCTGCTGTCACAGCCCAAGGCCTGGCCTGGGTTGCTGGTCTCACAGCAATGACTTCCCGCACGGTTTCTGTTTAGAGGTGTCTTCCCAAGGCTCTCTGTCTAAGAGGAGTGCTCGGCAGAAGTGAACTCACAGAGGTGCTTGCCTCACACTTTCAGGCATGAGGGAGGCAGCTTTCCTTATTCAAACAACCAAGTGGTACACCTGGGGGTCTCAGGGGTGACTCAGCGCTCTGCTCCCTCTAGGGCTGCGGTCCAGCTCAGGGCTCTTCTGGGCCTTGCAGATGGCTCTGCCTGCACTTATCCTGGGGACTTAGAGACTAAGCTAGAAAGGGCTGGGAATAGCCACCAGAGCACCCACTTTCATTGTCAATCTTGAGGTCAAAGAAAACCAAGGGCCTGTTTTCCGCTTGGGAGTTGGCGAGGCTGTCGTCCAGGACCCTGAGGGAGTTGGAGCCCTCCAGCTGAAGGTCACTGGACTCGCTGCTGTTGTCATCCAACTCTCGGAAGGACTGCAACACAGAGAAACCAACAGGTCAGGGGTCTAGGGGGCAAGAGGGACCATACTGGTAATGGGAGCGTGTGCCCGTGGGCAGGTGTGTGCGTGAATATGAGTGTGTGTGGGAACAGAGCAAACTGGTGTGGCTGAGGCATCTGCATGCACACGACGGAGGGCATGTATCGGGGAAGGGAAGTGTGTCTAGATGAGCACATGTGTGTGAGAGTGTGTGCATGAAAAGACACGTATGTGCCTGTGCACGTGTGTGGGCCACGTGTGTCAACAGGCACATGCATTAGTGAGTGAAGAGGGGTGAGGATGAGATCATGTGACGTGTGTGTGTGTGTGCATCTGGTGTGCACGACGGGGTGTGAACTTGTGAACCTGTGTTGACATCAGTATGTGTGAAAGCGTGAACATGTGAGCAAATGTGCGCAGGGGTGAGTAGTGCTGGGTGCAGAGGTTGGCGGGGAGCCCAGTGCTATGGTGGGTAGGGCCTGAGGTGTCTTCCTCGCTTCATCTCTGAGCAGACTCAGAAGAAACATCATGGACTGGGGACACGAGGAAGGAGCCTCATCTTGAACCCCTGATGTTTCTCTGGAAGGGGCCAGGAGCCCGGCTTTTCTTGTCCCCAAAGAGCCGAGGTCCCAGTGTCCTACACAAAGGGGAGGAGGAGGGCTGCTCGGCCTCTAGGATGCCACATCTAGGTGGACACAGAGCCTGGTAGTGGGAACAGAGGAGGGGAAAGCTCAGAGCCTGGAGACCCTAGAGACCATCCAGCAGCCTGCCGCTTAGGGAAGCCTAAGGCCTGGGCTCCTCCCCGCTGAGCGCCTGAGGCTCTGTTTTCTCCAGCACTAAGGCAAGAACAGCTTAAAAGGCCTATGGTGGGGGAAGGGCTCCGGCTTCCAAGGGGCAGGGACTACAGAGGGAGAAGCAGCCTCTCATAATATAGTTAATTGCTTGTCATTTGCACAGCTGCCAGACCCAGATATTCAAACTTTGGTGGCCTACTCAGAACCTCCTATGAATGCCGCCTGTGGACATTAACCAGAGACCAGGAGGAAGGGACATGGCCAGCGTCCCAGGGCTAGCTGGGAGCACTGCTGGGACATAGCCCAGAGCAGGTCCCGGTCCTTCCTCCTATGGACTGCCTCTTGCTGGTTGATGGAGCTGGCCTCACCTGGGGCCATCTGAGGCCTCCATGAAGCCTGGCCTCTGACTAATGTCCCTGGTCTGGGAGATAATTAGCATATTCTAGGCCCTTCTACGCTCCAGGTGAAACATTTTTTGGAACAAAACTTCAGCCAAGAGCAAAGTTACTAACAACCACAGGTACAATGTGCTGGATTTTCCTAGGAGTGGCTGATTTTTACTTTATTTGCACTTCATAGCACTACCCTGGGCCCCCCAACTTCCTCCCAGTCGTTGATAGAAAGAGACATTAGCTAGGAATCCATCCAGAGCTGGTTTGGCTTGGAGAAGCCTGTGAGTTCTGGGGCTTTAGACAGAAGGCCCTAATAAGAGACTTTGTCAAATGCTTTGCATATCAGTACCCTTGAATCAGCCGAGTATCCAAGGCTGATTTTGCCTGTCTTGCTCTGACATGGTCTTGCTGTCCTGGCTTCCTTCCCTCCCTTGTAAGGAGTCTTCTTTGGCATTTCTTTCAGGGGCCAGCTGGTGCACAAGAGACTCCGCCTTCTTTCCTGTGGGAGAATCCAGTGCCTTTCTCTCTCCGGGCTTCCAGAGCCTCTTCTGTTCTCAAGACAGCGGTGCTCTTGCACTTGGGCTGCTGGTGAGCTGGACGCCTCTTGCTGTGTCCTCCCCTGGGCCTCGGCTCCCTCTCGCCAGTGGCTGAATCCTCTCTGCCACCCACAGACATGGCACTCTGGGCTTTCTATTCTTCTGTCTTCTTTTTGCTCCAAACGTAACTGCAAAAGCCCTTGCAGTGGTCCTAGGGGCTCCACCTGTCTTCTCCCTTCTGCCAAGTCTCTTCGGGCTTTAAAATCAGAACCTTCTCTTCATTTATTCTCTCCCAAAAGTTAAACTCCCTGGAGAGCGGCGCAGATGGGCTAGCTCCTCCCCCATCTTTATACAAGGGTCACCTATGATGGCCACCAGAGCCTCCGGGGGTCATTTTCTCATTTTGAGTCTTGGAACTGTTCTTTGTCCTGAACTTACTGAAGACGCTGCTGACACCCTTAATAAAAGCCCACGCCCTTTCCACTGAGCTCGTCAACGGAGGGAAGCTGGATCTTCCAGCCCCGGCTCCTCTTCCGCTCAGATTCCCCTTGCCCTTGGGGACCTGCATATCATATGGCTTCCCTGTGGGGCTGGTCTCGCTGGAACACCTTCCCCTGGACTCTACCCAGCTGTAAACTCAATTCGCCCTCCCTGGGACGTACCGACACATTTAAGAGACTTTTCTAAAGACCCAGGTTTACCAGAAGGGAAATCAGCACACAAAGGCTTTGGCACGAAACATCTTCCCACCTCTGCTCACTAAAGAAAACGCTCCTGTTCCACCCCGTACAGCCCCACGTCTCGGCCTAATTCCACACTCAGGATAACTGAGTGAGTGGGGGAGCAGAGACTGGGACAGTGTGGAGACTAGAGCCCAAGAAGCCAGGAAACGGCCTTTCCTTGAAATAGGCGGAGGTTTGCTTGGCAGGGAAAGGACAGGGGGCAGGGATGGCGTGGGGAGAGATGAGAGTGTGCGAGGACAGGAAGTGGACAGTGGGGAAACACTCTGAGGACCTAGGGAGAGGAAGACGATGAGAGCTGAAGGAAAGCGGGAAAGGAATCTAAGAAGTGCGGCTGTGAGTTACGAGCTGGATCCCTTTTAATCGTCTTTGAAAGATACAAGCAAACACTCGAATTTCTTTATTATACTTGGCTAACGGACTGTGCTTCTTCTATGTGTTTCTTAGGCTGAGCCATGAGGAATCCAGGATTTTTTTTCAGGATTCACATGGCAATCTGGTTCGTGAGCTATATTTCCTTCATTTTCATCACGTATCAACTTAGCAGGTCAACCACATACCAACTCAACCCAGCAGGTCAAAAGGCCATCCCTAGGCTGCTTCTAGGAAGCAGCTGGGTTGACATCGTATTCACCTTCCAAAAGTCTAGGCTTATCTGGGAAGATCCAGCTCTCCTCTCCCCTCCTGGGTCCATATCCCAGGAGGTACATCTCACCTCCATTCAAGGAAGATACATACACATCTGCTAAAGATGTGAAATGGAACCCCCCCACCCTCCCCCCACCCCACTCTCTCAGGGTTCTATCCTTTGATTCTACAATTAGCAGCTTGAAAAACTCTTGATGCCCAGGCTGATTCGGATCTCTGGGGTGGAACCTAGGACTCTTGTCATTGGTAAAACCTCAAGTGATCAGTGTCAGGCAGGGTCAAGAACTGTCCTAATTACTGATTTAGTCCATGTTTGGTCATCAGCCAGTCAGACAGGAGCCAAACACTTTGCTATGCAACATCCAGTCCTCTGAAGATATCTACCTAAGTATATGACATTGCCTATCAAGAGTCCTAGTTCCTGAGGGACTCTCTCAGCATCCAAGCTTTAAGCAACAGCTGGGATCAGTTTGGCAAGACACATGCATTGCTAGTTTCTGCAGATATAAAACCCCAGCTCTTGCAAAGTCTGGAAGGCCCGGGAAATACCTCACATGTACCTGTGAACTGGACCATCCCATTAGCCAGCCTGTGGCCCACACTGCCCTCTGCAGGCTGTGGCCGCCCCTCAGGGGACGGAGAGCCCATCTCCTCAGCTGAGCACCTTTTTTTTAATCTGATACACACACTCACGAGCATCACTGGCCCTCCCCTGGATCAGCTGCTCCTCACAGGCCTCCCTTCCGCTGCTGCCCCCCTCTGCCACTTCTGCCAGGGGCTGCCCCCTGGGCTCGGCCCCTCCTACTTCCACTTGGCCCTGCTGCTGCCAGGCCCTGGGGCCAGTCATCTGTTGCAAGAACACCTATCTTTCTCTGTCTTGGATGCTAACATAGGGCCTAGGGCAGACTACTGACTACCCTTGTTTTTAATCAGAGTCCTTTCCCCAGGTCTCTATCATCAGGCCTGAGTCTCACCCCTCTACCTGACTGCGGCTCCACTGCCATACCCAGCAGGGGAGAGGGCTCTTTCAGAGGGCCCCTATGCTCATGCAGTCTCTCTGAGCCTAGCAGGCCTGCACAGAGCTCCCAGGCATGTCTATGTTCCAGCAACTGACACAGCTGCAGCCTTCACAGCACAGGCCCTGGTACACTTGGAAAACTCAGTATCTTAGCAGTATCTTCTACAACTGTCACACACTGTAAGGTGGGATCAAGGCCATGGAGAGGGGAGGACATGGGAATGCAGGCGCCTGGAGCACCCCGCAAATGTCACCCTGCCCCCACAAGGTGCTGCAAATACTCTAGGAGCACCATGGGTCTGGAAGGGGCATGGAAGGTGGGTGAGAAATGTGCCAGGGAGACCTAATTTGTTTACTTTCAAAGTTTTTTCTGAAGTATGGGACTCCTCTAACGGTTAATTTAAAAACTGGCTGAAGAAAGCCTGCACAAAAGCAGTGGTCCTCTGGCTCGCCACACCTCCAGACCTAGTTTCAGAGGTGAGCAGCTGCTTCTAAATGTTTAATTCTTCATAACTTGCAACATGCATGTTTCTCCCTCCTTCCCTGATTAGCCTCAGGCATCACCTAGCTCCTAGCTGAGGATTAGACTGACACCCCTACCGCCCAAACATGGCTGGTGTCCGTTCCTCCCCTGGCTTCCTGGAAGTCTGGGGGAGGTCACTGGCAGCCTGTCCTTTTCTCTCTTGCCTCCCCAGGCTTCACCTCCACCCATGCTGTTTTGTGATCATTTTATCAAGGTTACGGATGGAAAGAAGTGCCCAGATTTCAGAATTTAGAACATGGAAAGACTCAAACATGGACAGGCTGTGAGGAATAATAGAAAGGGGAGGTGGTCCTGGGTGGCCCCGGGGTCTCAGCTTGTGTAACTGGGCAGATGGTGTGATTCGCTGAGAGGAAGAGATGAGTTTGAAGTCTCTATGGGGCATCCGAGTGTAGCCGTGGGAGGGCCGCTGGCAGAGGTCCTTGACCCCACTCCTACCTCTGACCCTCAGATGTGGGAGAAAGAGGGACACAGCAACCCTACAGAACCAAGTTCCAGTGCAGGGAGGAGAAAAAAGCCACCTGCAGGGAAGAGCTAAGTCCAGCAAGGAATCGGTTGGTCATGGAAGAAGGGTTTGCAAGGGTGATCTTTCAACAAATATTTATTGAACAGCCACATCTGCCAGGTCCTGGGATCAACACAGTCCCTGTTCTCACAGGCTTAGATCCTGGCAGAGGCCCAGTGGAAAGAGTTGGGGTAGGGGGCTGGGGTACAAAGGGTGAGAGAAGCTTCCTTTTCTTGGGCAGAGGCCCAGGCATGCAAGGAGTTGGTGGCCTGAATCTCTCGCTCTCTCGGCTGGAGAAGACTGAAGTCTCTGCTCAGAGTCCATGCAGCCATTCCTTCCTTGGTTCCCTCCTTGGACAAGATGTTAGAATGCCTACTGTGTGCAGGGCTTTTAGGTGTGTAGGCTGGGTTGGGCTGGGCAGTGGGATGGAGGAGGCAGAAGCGGGGTATGGGGGTTGGCAGCAAGGTTATAAGAGGATGGAGGCCAACAGCTGTAGAGAGAGCACTTGGGGTTCTCAGAGACTTGTATGAGGGGGGCCTGGGCTAGTGGGGGGATTCACTGGAGGGCGGAGTGGTAGGAATGCATTTGGAGGGACTTCCAGTGGGACCTGGATCTGGGGATTCTCCGTGGGGGTTCTGTCAGAATCCTGCGGGGAGATTCCTGCCCCAAGAATCTGGACAGCTCTGCCTCTCGCCCTGCACCCCCTGAGAGAGGCAGCAAGCTGGGGACCCACAGAGGAGAGAGGAAGAGTGAAGAAGTTATTGAGCCACTGGGCTATCACGGACGACCCCCGGACGGAGTGGCCGCGGGACCGCCCTGCCCTTCGTGCCCGGCGGGGTTGGTCACTGGCCCTTTGGAGGTGGCCAGGACACTCCTGGGGGTTGGCAGGATGGTTGGGAGGCCCTGTGATGGCAGGGGTGATGGCAGGGGAAGGACAGGTCCACATGGGGTCACAATGCACTTTGAGTGGGAAGCGGGAGATGTAGCGAACGCGGATGGCTCTTTGAGCTCTTCGAGACAGGTAGCTGGCCCCACGATGGATGGCAGCATGCTCCTGGTGCCCGGGAGACTGGCTGGGAGACTCAGCATCGGAGACGGCAGCTTGCTCGGCAGGACGGTGGGGAGGCCAAGACAGGGGGTGGCATATGGCACTGGGGTGGGATGCTTGTCGAGCGTTCAGCAGGGGTTGGGCTGGCATGGAGTGTGGCACAGCGGTCTCCATGGGCTCCACGTGCTTTCCAATACAGAACCTCAGACTGAGGGCTGGAAGGGACTTGGGGGCCACCCAGTTCAACCTTTCACTCTGTTCAGATCCCCTTTTCCCCTGGATAGGGGACTGCCCAACCTTCATTAACAAACCTCAGGGACAGAAGGGTCACAACCCACAAAGCCACTGTCCATTATAGGATGGCTTTGGAGTTCTTTCTGACATGGTGTGAAAACTTGCTTGTCTGGCCCTGTACAGTGCTGCCCCATGCCCTCAGACCCCCACAATGGCCCGCACTCACGTCCAGCCTCCTTGCTGAGGACTTAAGAGGACAGAAAATACATAAGGACGCTCCCAACAAAGGCACTGGCTAGTCCCAAAAAGAGGCAGGGCTCCAGAAGGAAGCACTCCTATCAGCATTTCAGAAGAGAACATAGTTACTTGAGGCCGCTGCTCTGGTCTGGAGGGAGAGCTGGGGTGCTCCATCCCCACAGCTGGCCTTTGGAGACTGTCCTCAGGACAACTCAGGACTTACTGCCTCACTGGACAATTCCCCAGGCCCAAGGCAAGTCTGAGAGTCACCCGCTAAGGCTTTGACTCCTGGGAGCTAGACTGGGGGCAGGCAGAAGTCTGGGGGCAAACTTCTGGGTCACTCACCGAATTTTCCACATCTGAGTCTTCTGAGCTGCTGATCACCACAACGCGCTCCTCTGAAAGGGGCAGGGGAGGCAGCATTAGGCCCTGCTGGGGGAGCCCGCTGCCACCCCCACCTCCACCCCCACCCGCATGTTCTCCTGTGGGAATACTCGTAGGCCAGTGGACTGGGTGGGTGACATGCACCTGCAGGGGGGAATGGGAACCGTCACTGCGTGTGCCCATGTGGGTCTGTTTATTCACAGTGGCTTCCCATCATTGCCTGCCGTGCCCTGTCCGAACACTTCATTCGGCTGCTGGCCCTGAATGCAGAATTTGCTCCCTGCAGAGGAAGCTTGACAAGCACCCCTTGGTTCGGAGCCTTTCGCACTCCTAAAGAAGCACGCTGGTTTATTCCAATGCTCAGCCCTGTGAGCTGAGATGTTCAAGTTAAAAGATACCCAGAGTCTACATAATCAAAACCATCTGATGTACCAAGAGCACTTGTGAGCAAGGAATAAGTATCAGTTAGGGTTTGGTGTGTGAGCAGGCGCAGGGCTCAGTCTGGGATCTAGAATGAAAACAAAGCTGGGCTGTTTGGAACTTCCCAGAATTCTATGGGCTGACCTCAACTCATGCTCAGGAACTCCCTGTCTGGCCGGGTCCATGAAAGATATCTAGGATAATGAGGGCCTTAGGCGGGTGGCCTTTGCAGAAAATTTGGGAACTGATACGACTTTACCGAAGTCCTCTCTGGGAACGTGCTAGGTACCCACCAGATAAGTGTTTCTTGGGGAGACCCACGCTGTGCAGGGGCACGGTGCTGGGTTCTGTAAAAATGTGTTGGGGGAAGGAGCTAAGGAACTGTGGGCGTCAGCCTCTCCTGCTCCCCACACCGGAATCCCAGCATAGCACATGGTAAAATAAATTGCACTCACTCTCACCCCCTAGGCAAACCATGGGCTCTCCTTGCCCCATTTGGTGGCACCTGAGAGGAAGACATGGAATGCTGTTGGCTTTGGGCGGCCTGGGTGTGTTCAGGATGCAGAAGAGGGGCCCCACCCAGCCCCTGGAGGACAGCATGAAGGCCTCGGCCCCTGCTGACCCTCACCTCCCTACCTGCCTCCCCAGAGTCGCCGGCTGTATGGCTGCTGTTGAGCAGTACGGCCTCATTTCCTACAGTGGGGGTCTTGGGGCTGGTGGGCTCGTCCAGGTGGGGTGGCGAGACTGCCTTGGAGGTGCTGGGCCTGGGCTGCTCAGGGGAGCTCTGGGCCAACCTGGCCTCCTTCTCCTCCTCAGTCTCCATCTTGATCATCTTCCTTGGGCTCTCGGTCTGGCAGGACTTCCTCTTTTGTGTTGTGGTTGTGTTGGAGAACTCCTGTACAGTGGGGAGTTACAGGGCCAGGTCAGGAGCCTCCAGGGGTCCTGGGCTAGTGGGCAGAGACCCAGACCTGGGTGGCAGGGGCCTGTGGCTGCCCCCTTTGCTCCTGCAGTTCCCTCTGCTGTCCACCATGCAGATCATGCCTCGCTCCACACAGAAAGCCCTCCCAAGTTGCCATGTACAACGGCCCTAGGAGTGGCTCCTGCTCAGAGCACACGACTTCCTGACGGGGCAGCCAAGGGCAAGGAAGAGCACAGAGCAGGCACTGATTAACGTCTGGATTCGCTCCCAGCTCTCCCTCTCCCAGCCTGGTGGGATCTGGGCCCTCAGAGGTGGGGGTGGAGTGGGATGGGGAGGCAGGGGCTGGGAGGACTTACCTCTCTGTGGGAGGGGTCTTTGATGGAGTAAGCGTACATCGGCATAGGGTGTGCCCCAGGCACTGACTGTACCACGGCCACAGGCTGAGTCTCAGCCAGCCTCGGGGTCTGTGGCTGAGCCATCTGTGCCCTCTCTGGCTGCAAAGTCAGGACAGGAGAGTCAGAAATGGCTGGGCAGCAGGACCAGGGCTGGGAACCCAGGCCTGGGGTCAGGCCAACACCCAGGGGCTCAACCAGCCACAGGCGCAGGCTGCCCGGTTCAAAGCTCAGAGCCTACTGGGGGCCAGGAGTCCTCCCCACACCCTCCATGGCTTCACCTCCTTGTGACCTTGAGGTGCTGGTGCCCAGGGATCACTGCCCAACAACTCCTCAAGGCTTGCTGGACATCTAGCCGACACAACTCCGGGGACAAAGTGTTCACTGCTGCTGGAACCAACTTCTCTACAGCGGCAAAGTTGTAACAGGAAAGATACCCTTGTACTGAGGTGAAACTAGCCTCCCTGTGGCCTTGACTTGGCCTGGGTTAGAACAGCCATTGCACACCTTGGACAAATCACTTTAAACTCCTCGGCCTCCACACCCCTCTGTAAATGGGAGTAATCACAGGATCGACCTCACAGGGCAGTGTAGACGAAGTGTTACTCCAGCAAAATGTTCACAAGAGCATCTGGCACTTAGCACATGATAATGATGATAAATAAACATTGTTTTTATTACTGCTCTGTGCCAGGCACAGTGCTTGGTGCTTCAAATACCCAGCACAAAAGGAAGTAGGCATGGAATTTTTATATGATCCAGTAATTTTACTCCTAGGTATGTACCCAAAGGAACAGAAAACAGATTTTCAAACAAAATCTTGCACCTGAATGTTCACAGCAGCACTATTCACCTAGCCAAAAAATGGATGAACGGATAAACAAAAATGGAATAGCCATACAAGGGAGTAGTATTCAGCCATAAAAAGGAACGAAGTTGGGCCGGCCGAGTGGCTCGTTGGTTAAGAGCTGGCTTGGGACGCCAGCTCTGAGCTGTAGGGCCCCGGTTCCGATCCCACATGATGGACAGTGACACTGCCCTCTACAGCTAAGATGAACAACAGCTTGACCTGGAGCTGGGCTGCCGTGAGGCACCGGCAATGGCGTAGGCTGCAGCCCCTGGTGCAGTGGGCTGCCATAAGCTACCGTGTGAGCTGCAAAGAGCCGCCGTGAGCGACTGTCCAGAGGCCGGAGATCGATCTGCCTCACCCGGGAAGAGCACAATGATAATACCAACATGGGCTAGTGAAGCAATGTCCTCCACAACTAGTCTGAAGAACAAAAGGACAGAATTTGTCTGTTCCCCTTCTCCGATTCCCCAGCGCTGTTCCGCTCCCCCAATTCCCCAATAAAATCTTTTTAAAAAAGGAACGAAGTTCTGATACACACAGGGATGAACCTTGAACACATTATGCTAAGAGAAAAGAAGCCAACCACAAAAGGATACATACTGTATGTCTCCATTTATGTGAAATATCCAGAATAGCTAAACGCATAGAGACAGAAAGCAGCTTGGTGGTTGCCAGGGGGTGAGGGACGGGGACATGGGAAGTGACCGCTTCATGGCTACGGGGTTTCCTTTTGGGGTAATGAAAATATTCTAGAACTAGATAGGTGGGATGATTGTACAAGATTGTGAGTGTACTAAATGTCACTGAATTTTACACTTTGAAATGGTTAAGATGGTGACTTTTCTTGTACGAATTTTACCACAATAAAAAGAAATTGTAGTTAAAAAAAAAGAAGAGGTAGGTAGCATCCTATGATTATCACCACCCTACAGAGCAGGAAACTGAGGCACAGAGTGGTGAAATGATTATCTAAGGTCACATGCCTAGTAAGGGCCTGGACCAGGGTTTGAACCCAGTGTTTTTGCAATGGAAATTCCCTTCCTGCACCTGCATAAGCCTACTTTTCTCCAGTTTCTGTCTCCCTCACACCCCTCTCCACCATCCCTCCTACTCTGTGCAACTCAGCAGCCTACTGGACCATTTGCTGAAAACGAGTGAGAGATGTGGGAAGTGTTCCTCTGAAGGGGAGGCCCAGACTCGGGTTCCTGCCCCTCCCTTCCCCAATCTGACGCCTTGGTGTCTAATTTCGTGTGCACTCAGTGGGTGACCATCACCCAGAAGCCTGCAGCCTGTCCACACAGGGAAGGATAGGCACTCCAGCACAGCAGGCAGGCTCTTCATGGAGTAGAGCTGCATCAGAAAAGCTGGGGCCTGACGCAGACTGTGGGGCCAGAGGTAGGCTTTCCTCATTGGGATGCGCCCCGCACCCTCCTCTGGGGGTGGGCATGGTCAGGCCACCCTCAGAGGGGACACCAGAGGTGACCTGGCCAGGCCCAGCACCACAGGGCCACGTGCTGGGTACCAGACCCTGAGCCAGGCAGAGCTCTTTTTGGCATCAGCGCGCTGATGTGGGCTGTGGGCTCCTACTCAGTCTGCAATAATGGATGGACTTCCTTCTTTCCTCCCTCATTCCCAGGTTTCTTTTGCTCAACATCTTTACAGAAAGAGAGGAGAGGTATCTAGATCAGAGTGGAGTCTTCCTGGGGGAAGCTTGGAGAATGGATGTTCTCTGACTCAAGGAAAGGATACATTCCACTGAGTGCTCTATGCCAGTGTTTTTCAAACTACACTCTGTGACCCGTCAATAGATCATGAAATCAAGTAGGTCATGACCTGTATTTTTTTTATATTACATACAACACAAAGTGTTAGGGTAATCCCATGTAATAAGTGCGATTTGTTTTTCAAAACTTCTGTTTTACTTAGAGGTGTTTGTGTGTATAGAGTGTAGGCTAGATGTAAAACAAATTTTTATAATAGGCAGCAGTCAGAAAAGCTTAAACCACCTACGATAAAACAAAAAGTGTGGGTGAGAATATGGAGAAATTGGAACCCCTGTGCACTGTTGGTGGGAATGTAGAATGGTGCAGCCTTTGTGGAAAATTGCATAGCAGTTCCTCAAAAAATTAAAAATAGAACTACAATATATATGATCCAGTAATTCCACATGCAGGTAAGTTTTATGTTAATGTATTTTATCACCACTAAAATATTTTTTTATAAAGTTGAAAAGATCCTGCTCTGCCTTTTCATGTCTGGCTCTACAGACAGCTGGTATGTAAAGGCTTCCACATGGGCCGTGTGCTGCGAACTCCCCAAAGACAGGGCTGGATTCCTCTCTACCTCTGCCCCACCCTCCCTGATACCCACCCCCAATGTTTGTTGTTTTTTTTTTAAGATTTTTATTGGGGAATTGGGGGGATGGGAACAGCAGTGGGGAATTGGGGGAAGGGGAACTGACAAGTTGCTGTTGTTTTGTTCTTCAGTCTAGTTGTGGAGGACGTTGCTTCACTGGCCCAATTTGGCACCATCATTGCGCTCTTCCTGGGCGAGGCAGATCAGTCACCGGCTTCTGGACGGCCGCTCACCGCGGCTGCTGGCCGCTCACGCTGGCTGCTGGGTACATACGGTAGCCCATGGCAACCCACTGCCACAGAGGCTGCAGCCTACGCCATCGCCGGCGACTCACGGCAGCCCAGCTCCAGGTTGAGCTGTTGTTCAGCATCTTAGCTGTAGAGGGCAGTGTCACTGGCCCTCATATGTGGGATCCGAACCGGGGCCCTCTGGCGTCCCAAGCCAGTTCTTAACCATCACGCCACTCGGCCGGCCCCCCACCCCCAATGTTAATGTAGCAGGGGACACATGAGGAAAAAAAATTCATGATAACTGATTTATAGTTGCTTTATAGCTTTACATTTTTTTATTTTTTTCGTTTTATTTTTGAAGTATTGTAACATCATTACAAAAACAGCCTATGAGAAACAAAGGAGGGAAAACGCCAGAGCCCCCCACCCACGCCCCAGCAGTCGTAAATGAGCCTGTGGGCATGTTCTGTCATCATCTCGACCTAGGCACATGGCTGCAATTAAAGTTAACCAACAGTGTCAAGAGGGATGAGTGTTGGCACTAGAAGCCCAGCTCCTGCCTCCTGAGGCAGAGATGTGGGTCTCCTGGGACAGCTGATGGTCCTGACTCTCTTGGGACAGCCAGACCACCACCCAAGCTGCCACACCTGTCCTTTGCACTCAGTATTACCCACATCTTTCTCCCAGCTCCACCCACCTGCACCCACCTACCCCCAGCCTATTACTTAAAGAATGCAAGAGGCTCTGCAAAAACAGCATTCTTCTGATGCTCCAAGTTCAAACTGCTTAGCAGTAGATAGTGACAGGTTCCCTCAAGATGGACCCGGCAAAATGCCTGGACCTTACACAGACAATAATGGGTTCGCTCGCTGTTCATGAACCAGTGGCTGGCACCTGAAAGACAGCTATGATCTGTGGACCCAGGCCACTTTCCACTATTACTCAATGATACCTTTCCCCAAAAGTATCATTAGTTATTCTAGCACTGTTTCTAATGCAAAACAACCTAAATATGCATTGATAGAGAACTGGTTAAATAAAGCATGTTCCAGCCATTCAATGGACCAGTCGAGGTGCAAAAAGGCATCAGGAAGGAATACTTCATTGGGTGAAAAGCCTGCTGCACAATACTATGTATACATGGTACTCTGCTACCTTTGTACAAAGAAAGAATGGGAAAAGCAAGCATCTTTAATCATGTTTACTTGTAATTACATAGAGAAATTCTGGAAGGATATGTAAGAAGTTAATACGGATAGGTATGTGGGCAAAAGAACTGACAGATGGGGGACAAGGTGGGAGTGAGACATTTATCACTTTCTACATTTTTATTTCTGACGATGTGATTACCTATTCAAAAATTAAATTAAAATATTTTGTTTTCATTTTTAATTTTGAAACTGTGTATATGGGGATGCAGTACCCAAGGCAGTTAGGAGTTGGCTTCTAGGCCTGCCCCTGACCATCATGTGGCCGCAGGCTAAGCCACACCCTCTCTCAGGGCCTCAGCTTCATCCTCTGTAAGAAAGGGGGTTAGACTCCATGCTCTCTCCTGGCTCTAAAACTCTCAGATCCTAAATTCTGCCTCCTCCAGGAAGCCTCTCCTATTGCCTCAGCCGTCAGCAATCTGTCTCCTATAGGCTATGCCATAGCAACGCTAGGAAGGCTTGCCGTCCTGACCCCCCCACCAGAGGACCTGCTTTCCATGGAGGTCTGATCAGTCCCGGGCCGAGAAACCTGGATGAGCAGGAAGGGAACAGACCAGATGCCTGGGAATGGAGGAAGCGGATCCTGATCGAGAGAAGCCATGCACACAAGCACCCTAAAGGGCAAGTCATCACAGTGCGATTGCATTTCTACCCAGGGAAGCACTCTAAGTCAGAACAGTCCAGAGACGGGAATGGCTGCTTCAAGAATGAGCGAATTTTCTGTCCCTGGTGGTCTGTGCATGAAAGCTCAACAGCCACAGGTCAGGGGCACTGCAGAGGGAGTGCCAACATTAGAGGGGGTACGGGCACCTTTCAACCCTGAGAAACTATGGTTGTTGGATATATGCTGGCCTTGAAATCATGCCAATGGAACCCAGGCTGCTGGGATAGAGGTCTGATTCCTGGCCCCATTCTCCACTCCTCTCCAAGAACCATGTGTAGGGAGAAAGGAGGGAAAGGTCCACATGTTGACCCCAGGAAAAGGCCCGCATATCTGGGGTGGAGTGCAGAGAAGGGAGAGGTCACCAGAGGCACCTACCAGTAACCAGCTCCTCCAGCTCCTGCCCAGCCCTGTGTTGAACTGCTCCTGAACCCATCAAAGCTCATATCCCAATAGTTACTTCGGCATTTAGGAGCCCAGAGTAAACCAGCCCTTCCTTTACTCCCTCCCACTGAAAGCTCCAGTCCGGCCACTTGCTATCCCTTTCTCAGGCATTCTTCCTTCTCTATTACCTGCAGACCTGGGGTCAACAAGACTCAGTTTCCTTTCTGACACAGGGGAACTCCCAGCCTGCCTGACCAGCCGGACCATACTCCCTCCCCTTCCGTCCTCAAACCCATCTCACCAGGTCAACGGCAGGAGGGTCCCTGGGACTGCTGGCAGCCTCTGGGATGGATCTCCTCAGTGGACCTGCATCTGGAGAACACAGAGGTCATAGGCAGGTCAGAGACATCCTTGGTGAAGTATCCTGGCCTGGGACACCGACAGAGGGAAAGAGGGAATGTCCTTGTTGCTTTTCCTGAAGACCCATTCTCCAGGGCCTCTCGCAGCACTGGAGCAGCTCCAAGGAGGGGCTGGCAGTTGGAAGGAAAGCTCCCTGACTGCAGAGGGCATAAACCTCATCAGGAGGGAGAAAGGGGTGGCATTAGAGTGCTTGTCTTTGGCTCCAAACCCCAAGTGCGCTTCTCTCCATCTCTGGGCCAACATCAAAGCAAAGTGTGAACAGTGCTAAAGGCATTACTGCTCACTGACTTCTCCGCAGATGGTGGGGGGCTCCGTGATACTCTTCCGACCCATAGCCTGGTTTTCATTAAATCTAATCTAAATCTTGTGCTTTAGAATAAAATATGTAGGGGGCTGGCCAAGTGGCTCAGTTGGTTAAGAGCTTACTCAAGAGTGTGAGCTCTGAGCAACAGGGTCGCCGGCTCGATTTCCACATGGGCCAGTGACGCTGTGCCCGAGCTGAGCTGCCACTGAGCTGCCAACAGGTGGCAGGATGTCTCAGCTGGTGAGAGCACGTGCTCTTAACAACAAGGTTGCCTGTTCAAGATGGTGGGCTACGCTCCCCTACAACTAAAGAATGAACTCAGCACCTTGAGCTGAGCTGCTGTGCAGGTGGCTCAGGGGATAGAGCGCACGCTCTTAACAACAAGGCTGCCAGTTCAACTCCCACATGGGATAGTGGCTACACCCACCCACAACTAATTGAACACAGCACCTTAAGCTAAGTGGTGCAACTGGACTTGGAGCTGAGCTTGCTGCGCCCTCCACAATTAAGATTGAAGGACAACAACTTGGCTGTTCCCCTCCCCCAATTCCCCAATTAAAAAATCTAAAAAAAAAAAAAAGAATAAAATATGTAATCCCTTTCTTTGCCATAGCCAAGGCAAGCTGTTTAAACTCTGAGGGGTCCTTTCCTGTATATGGGGTGGCATTCACTGCCTAGGTGGAGAAGGCACCAGTCCATACCCACTCTAGGACTGTACCTCTATGAGCCCACGTCTATCATCTCCAAGGGCAGGAGGAAGCGAGCCCTCTATCACCAGCACCCGCCTGGGGACCTTCAGGTTCTTGCCTCCCTCCCTGCCTTCACACCAGCTGTCCAGAGCTCAGATGCTAGCCTAGAGACTTTGTCAGAAAGCCATTAAAGCCTCTCACCCTGGAGGCCCTCTTGTGCACCCCCATCCTCTTGTCTCTTGAAAGCCCTCCTGGCATATCCAGCTCTGTAGAGCTGCTACAATTCCTGAATTTGGACTGCAGAGCCAAGCACTGATTCATTCTCCAGCTATGTGATGTGCCCCATCTTGTCTCCCAGTTGGACTGGACAGCTTGAGGTGAGGAACTGGTCTGCCATTTCCCACTTCCCATGTGCCCAATACCGGGCAGGGCCCACAAAAGTTGGCAGTTGGTCCAGGTGGCAGACCATTCTGGGGGCAAAGGATCTCCTTCACTGAGCCATAGTGTGTTTCTGGGTAAGCACCCACCCACCCCAGGGTTTTCTCAGCCCACCTCTGTCCCAACTTCATGTTCCAGTTGACTTCTCTGTGAGCAACAAAAGTGGCTTAAGAGGACTTCCTGGAGTGGTTGGTCTGCCTGGGGCTAAAATGATAGGAGGTCTAGCTCTCAGGTTTGTAGTTTCTTAATTTCCCCAAGGGTCACAAGATCACAGCTAATCCGCATGGTTTTCTAAATGAGTCAAGCACGTCCTCTCTGGGTGGCTGCAGCCTCATTCCGGGCAAACTCTAGAGACAGTAAAAAACAAAACAAAACCCCAGTTTCCTTTTCTGTCACATGGAGATGATCTTTCCTGCTCTGCCTTCCCCAGAGGGCAGCAGCAAGGCACCAGCCCTTAAATGAATGGTAAACAGGGCCACCATGAGGATGGCTCAGGTGCTTACCTGTCCCCTGGGTGATACTAGAGACGAGGTCCTGCAGGCGCACCCTGAATTCCTCGAAGCCATCGGTGCGCACGGCAGCTTGCAGGTCTTGGGGTTTCTCCTGGTGCAGGCGGCTGAGCGCCTCCCGCAGGAAGTCGTGCATGTCCAGCACCTCCTGGTCTGAGGCGAAGCGCTTCATTCTCTGCACCAGAGTGCTGCCGATGCGGATGCGCTGCAGCACAGACTCCAGGTGGCCCAACTGGTCCCGGATCTCCTGGGAGTCGCTCTGGTACCGGGTCTTTACCGCCTCCAGCAGCAAGCGCTCCTGCTCCCGCACGCGCTCTACTGCGTGACGCACACGCTCGCGGATCAGTTCCTCCATGTCTGTGCGCACGCGCGCCAGCTGGCTGCCGGCGGAGTTCATCTGCGCCTGCGCCGCACTGAAGGTGCGGTCCTGCTCCTGTAGCGCCTGCGTCATGGTGTCCAGCTCCTCCTGTCGCTTCTGGATCTCCTCGCTGATGTCGCACTTGTCACTGTGGCCATTATCCAGAAGCGCGCACGTGCAGCACAGTGGCTTGGAGCAGCCTCGGCAGTAGATGCTGCGGACACATAGGCCGGCCTGATTAAGGGCTCTCCTGCTTTTTTTCCTTTTGCATTTTTATTAAATTCCTCATAAAATTACAAAGCTTTTAATCATGATATGTTTCTAGGTTCGTGCTTTTCTCAATTCAGTGTTTGTGGTTATGGTGATAGTATCCAAACTACTAACAAAACATTAGAATATTAAAAAGTTACTAAAGTAATAGCTAGCCTCCATTTGTGAAAGAATGCAAAGATATATTTTTAAAATTTAATCATCTCTTCCCACCACATCTGACTTTCCTTTCCGCATATCCAGAGTAAACAGGTGAGCATCCTGGGTGCATCATTCCACACTTCACTCCACACAAACCACCTTACACAAATATCCAGATTATGCTTGTAGGATTCTAAGGACTTTGATACATTTCATTCCATTTCATCCTCGCTGGAGCCCGTTAGGAGAGAATGCTTGTTATCCTCATTTCACAGATGAAGAAATGGCAATACCATTACTTGTTAACTTCTTCCTCTAATATAGCTTTCATTCTAGATGTTGTTCTAGGTCTCTTAAGTATAGATCTAATGTATTCTCTTTAATAGCTCATTATAGTCCAGATGGACCACAACTGATTCAGTCATTCTCCTGTTAATGGACATGATAGTGATTTACTATTTATGATTTTTTTCTTTTCTTTTCCCTTCCTTCCTTTCTTGCCAATATGGACAATGCTTTATGCATGGATACATATAATTTTGTTTCTATAAAATGGATTACAAAAAATAGCATTGCTAGATCAAAGAATGTGTATGTTTTTATTTATTTCATAGATTTCAGTTAGCAGACAATTCCATAGGACTTACTATGTATCAGACACTATCATAAACATTTGACAAATACTAACTCATATAATCCTAAAATCCTATGGGGTAAGAACTATCATTATGCACATTTTAAGGATGGTGAAACCGAACAAGAAGTAAAATAACTTGCCCAAGGTCACACAATTAATAAGTGGTAAGAGTCCAGATGCAAAGCGTAGTAGGCAGAATAACAGCCCCCATCCATGTACTAATTCCCAGAACTTGTGAATACGTTAGCTTACATGGTAGAAAGGGCTTTGCAGGAGTGAGTACACTAAGGATCTTGAAATGGAGAGATCATGCTGGAGTGTCTGGGTGGACCCAATGTGATCACAAGAGTCCTTATAAAGGAAAGGGGGGGGCAGGAGAGTGAGAGAAGGGAGATGTGATGATGGAAGTGGAGATCAGAGTGACACTACCCTGCTGGCTTAGAAGATGGAAGGGTGTCATGAACCAAGGAATGCAGGCAGCCTCTAGAAGCTGAAAAAGGCAAGAAAATCAGTTCTTTCCAAGAGCCGTTAGAAGGAAAACAGCCCTGCTGACATCCTGATTTTATCTCAGTGAGACTCACTTCAGACTTCCGATCTCCAGAGCTACACAATAATAAATTTATATTGTTTTAAGCCCCTAAATTTGTGATGATTTGTTACAGCGTCAATAGGCAACTAATATAAAATCCAGGCAGTCTGGCTCAGAGTCCATGCTCTTAACCATTGCAATGCTGTCCCTTCAAATATCACCAGAAAAAATATTATTAGTTACTGCCCCAGAAATATTGTAATTTACTCTTACCAGCAACAAGGCCAGGGGAAAGGCTCTTAGCTGGGGCCACTTTGGCCTCAGTACTGAGATCAACTTGTACTAGAACTGCCAACACACAGCCTGATAGGCAACCTGACTCCAAAATCATGGCACCAGGCACTGGTCCTCAACTTGACCGGCTGTCAACCTTCCCAAGTCACCCAAAAATGTAGTCTCAAGGCATGGTCCTCCTGATCAAACACAGGAGACTTATTCCAGGCTAGCAGAGGCTTCCTGGAGAGCCCAGAGGATGGGAAAAGGGACCAGGGGTTACCACTAGGTCATGAGCTCAGCTCCTTCAGCCTCAGGACATCTGATCTAAGTAACAGAGAGACCCGTCACCCAGAAGCAGCGCCAGTGACTAAGAGTAAGTGGCAGCTGGAGCAGAGAAAACAGCCTGGCACCTGTGTATCTCACCTCAGCTCTGTGCCCTTGGCAGGTCAGTTAACCTCTTTGCAACTCAGTTTTCTTAGCTGTAAAACAGGGACAATTCCCACCACATATGGGAGTGCTGTAGAGGATCAAATCAGAGAAGTTCTATATAAACGTTCTTAATGACTATGATTATTATAATTGTATGAAATATTAGTGCTCACCAATGTCACTATTAATAAGAATTGCTAAGCAATTATGAAAAGAACTAATAACTCTCCAGAGGGCAATTAGGGGATGTCCATCAAAATCACAAATGCATTTATTTATCCTTTGACGTGGCAATCCCCCTTCTGGTATCTATTCTGCAACTCTACCTCCACATGTAGGAAATCACATCTGTACAATCCAACACAACCCACAACAGCAAAGACTAGAAACAGCCTAAGTGTCCATCACTAGGCAGTAATTTACATAAATCATGATGCACCCACACAATGGAATACTATGCAGCTGTAAAAAAATTAAGGAAGCTCTTTATATAGAAAAATCTCCATGGCAAAATGAGGATAATAATAGGATTATTAGGAGGATTAAAGGAGATTTTATATATATTGTGTTGTTGGAAAAGTCAAGACGCATTTTTGCAATGAAAAACAGAAAAAATACGTCATGACTTTTCCGACAACCCAATAGAAAAGGTTAGGGCCAGCCAGGTGGTGCAGTTGGTTAAGAGCGTGAGCTCTGAGCAACAGCGTTGCTGGTTTGATTCCCACATGGGCCAGTGAGCTGTGCCCGAGCTGAGCTGCCGCTAAGCTGCCAACAGGTGGCAGGATGGCTCAGCTGGTGAGAGTGTGTGCTCTTAACAACAAGGTTGTTGCTGGTTCAACTCCTGCATGGGATGGTGGGCTGCGCACCCCTGCAACTAGATTGAAAGTGGCGACTGGACTTGGAGCAGAGCTTGTGCACTACACAACTAAGATTAAAGGACAACAACTTGACTTGGAGCTGATGGGTCCTGGAAAAATACAATGTTTCCTTCCCCAATTCCCCAACACTGTTCCTTTCCCCAATTTCCCAATAAAATATTTTTAAAAAGTTTAGAACAGTGACTAGCATATGAGTATTCAATATCTATATTATTATGATGTATAGTGTATGTGTTATAGGATGCTACCTTTTGTGTAAGAATGGAGAAAATAAGAATATATTCACATTTGATTATATTTGAATAAAGAAATCTCCAGAGGACACATAAATTAATAAAAGTAGTTATGGATGGGGCAGGGCAGAGGAGGGAGACATTTTACTGTATGCCTTTTACATTGCTTTCATGTTTGAACCTTATGAATGTATTACCTATTTTTTTAAATTAAAGAACAGGCTACTAATAAATGTGGGCAACTATACAGGGTATAGAAATAAAGGAGGAGAGCTAGAGCCAGTTATCATTTTCTCTGCTTTGGATCCACAGGAAAGTTGGCTTCCCTTCCTTAAGAAGAGTGCGCCAAGCCTGGAAGAGGCGCACCTCAGCAGCCTGGCTAGAGAGAGAATAAGACTTTCTGGGTTGACCACAGTCTCTGCTATTTCTAGGCCTCTCTGCCCTGAATGGGGTCTCCCTAGGGAAAGGGGTAGCTGCTCCCTGTACGGATGGAAGTGGACAATTGGCATTAGGTCTCTGTGAGTTGGCTGACCTGAATCAGACCCCATGGGTCCAAAAGCTCCAAGCTTTCTTTCTTTTTAAAAAATTAATTAATTAATCAATTAATTATAGAAGAAAATAGTTCCATGGATTTTGGACAATATGTTCAAGCCATATATTTCAATGTATCTACTTAAAATTATGGATCTTCTATCTGATTATTTATTTTTCAAGTTTGATAGATATCCTTAGAAAGTAACATAGTATCTGGGTTAGTCATTTTTCACTACAATTAAGAAAATAAAATGCATAATAGTGTTTTGATTTTAGAATAACAGTATTAGTGTAATACACTGACCACTAGATGGAGACAAGCTCTCTTAGCTTCACACATGATAGTCCTTTCTTCTTTCTTTCTTTCTCTCTTTCTTTCTTTTTAAATTAAAGTTTATTGTGGTGACAATGGTTAGTAAAGTTACATAGGTTTCAGGTGTACAATTCTGTAACCCATGCTTTCTGATAAGACTGAGGTGTAGGCCCTGAATTGGAGTGACCCGTTAAGGGGCTGCTCCAGTACCAGGAACAACCTCCTTGGCCTAGGATACCTTCACTCTCATTCAGGGGACACTCACTGAACACCTACTGTGTGCTTGGCATTTTGGAGGCGGCAGAGGTGAGGCAGACACCTGCCCACAGGGATCTCCATGACGAGAACCCAGGCTTAACATAGGCAGAGAGAGGAGTTGCTCTGGGAAGCAAAAGGAAAGTTATTAGCTCCTGGAATAGTCAAGTGAATAAATTAAACACCACAAAATTAGTAAGAAGTAACTCAGCAAAGTGGCTAGATTATACCAGAATTAAGAGAAGAAAATAGCTTAATTCTATCCCAGCAAAGCAAATGAAAAGAAATATGGAAGAAAACTTTCCATGCTCCCACTTACAAGAGCAATTTTTAAAGTGCTTAAAAAAAAAAAAAAAGAACCCCTAGACGTAATCCTAACAAGAAATATGTAGGGCTTATTATATGGAGAAAAGGACAAAAACCTACTGAGAAAGTCTAAAAACCAGAAAAGTGTATCAAGGTCCTGACTGGAGACTAAATGTTACAATATTAATTCTCCTCAAGTTCATATAAAGGTTTAAAGCAATTTTAGTCAAATTACGAATGAGGTTTTGAAACTTAACCCACTGATTCTGAATTTCACATGACGAAATAAACAAATCAACCAGCTAGGAAATTTCTGAAAAATCAGTGTGAAGAAGGGGAATTTTCTCTGCCAGATGACACATTATAGAACTCCCATTATTAAAAGAGTGTGGTACTGGCCTACGAGTTAAGAG